TTTATTTTTTTTAATATAAATTTCGATAGCTGAAATTTTTTCAAAAAACAGCAGTATTTTTTTACGTTTACATTTGCTTACTTACTCTCTGTTGGCTAATTTTTAAGTGTAATTAAATCTCATTCCTATTTTTTCCTAACGTTATTAGACAAATTGTAATTAGACAAAAATAGGATAGGGAAAAAATAGACAAAAAAATAGGAAAAAAACTTTCTTAGAACAAATTTTTCTTTGTCGCACGGCAACAACTTTCTCGCACGGCAACTTTTTGTTTTCTGTTCCTAGCATGTACCAGTTCTTAAAATGTTTTCAGAAAGATTTTTCGAAAAGCTTAACTTCGGGGGCTCGGGCGGGTTGGCAGCAGAGCACATAAAAGTTATGCATGCAGATACTGCCCTCGAATTCAAGGACGAACGCTATGCAGAAATGCAGAACAACCTTGCATTTTTACACTTCAATTACATCGAGACGCGTTTTTCTAAAGCCATGGCGGAGTTATTCGATCAATCGCACCACCCAGTTCTCAAAATATGCGAGCCGAGTGACTACACAGTCCTTAAGGGTGAGAAGGAGCGCAGCAATTTGTACGTTTTGGGTAAGGGCATGGACCACAATGGTCACGCCAGTACTATCTACAAGAAGCAAGTTACAGAGAAGTCAAACGAATTCTGCCAGAAACAAGTGTCATGTAAGTAAAATTGCCGAGCTGTTTTTTCATCACTCTACGTTTACCTGAATTTTTATCAAAATTAAATCAATAGGGCGCAAAAAAACAACGCAACATAAGACGTTAGTGGAGTTAGACAAACCAATGATTGAGGTGACAGAGATTGATTATCTGCACAGAATTTGGTATAAATTCTTTCTGAATTTTTTTGCTGCAGGAGTACTTCACAGAAATTAGATGATGGTTTTATTATACCAATACTTTGCTCCTTAAATGCCTTTAAATATCTATTTTTTTGGTCAATAATCCGTACAATTTTTTTTTCAAAATCAGACTATTTAGAAGCGTTGTAGATTTAGGGGATTGCTTCTATAGGTTTGTTCTCTCTTTCCATACAACACCCCAATTTGGTCCCTTGGGTAATGAATTCAGCGGGGTGACCGATATACACTACTATCTACAATCCCGAAAGGGTTAGTTGGTGCCAAATATTCTGTATTGTATTATTTTGCTTGCCCCTTCTTGGGTACTGCTCTCAAGCTGTCTTGTCTACTGGATACAATCGCAAAAATTTCCAATTGTAATTTAATTCATATGAGTATGCGTCTAATTACAGAAGGCACTGAGTGGCCAGGTTATAATCTAATAACCAAATCAAAAGGAAAGGGTCCGCGATTTATCGACTAAATTGCCTAATTGCAAGTAACTTCCAGCTAACTCCACGAATAACGAATACTGAACTGTTCTCTCTCTCTAGAGAACCTCTGATCAGAATCAACTATCTACTGTTTCTTCTATAATTGTTTTTTTTTCTACGAGAACCAATTACTCAATTCACTAGCATAATTGTTCTCTTTAACTAACTGAGAAGCAAATACTCTCTCTCTCTCTCTCTCTCTCTCTCTCTCTCAGAATCAATTGCTCTCTTCTCTGACTGAGAACCAACTACTCTCAATAGTAGCTAACAACTAGTCTGACTCTTACGCGCTCCCCTCCAATTCCTTATCTTTCTTTACACTAAGTTAAATCACGCCATTCCCTATCAGTCCTGACATCCGCTTAAGTCACCCGTCCACACATATTTTAAGACTATATCCCTCCCCTGTCAACTCTGCCTCGTGCCGAGTTCGGTTTCGTTTATCAATCTTTTCACGCTTATTAGATACCCGGTATGCGGTAGGTGCCACAATTTGACCAAGCAAACAAATGTCATACAATTCTAATTAACTAATTCCTGACCTCGAGTTCAACTCAAACTCCAAACATTGCTATATTTACTCAGTAACCCCCAAGGTATTTGTTTTAAGTATCACGTTAACGTTCCGACCTCCCAAGGGTAGGGGGAAACCCTTTTTCATGACTAGCTAATTATTTCAAGACTCTAAATTTTCTATCTGTACCCTATTCCAATTCCGACCTTCCAGCTATCAGGGTAACGTAGTTCGTCTATTAGGAGTCAAATCAATCCGAAAACTCACCTCCGAGAAGCAAAGTATATTCTCCGTCCGTTCATAGTAATTAGGAGACTTAATTATCATGCTGCGGTCCTATTACTATCAATTTCCTCCGGGACTACTTTTCTCTAGTCTTGCTGAATTGCTATTAATAGATCATTCGCCAAGCTAAATTGACAACAATGTTTAGCAAGTCGACTTTGAAATAACTCTATTACCTCAAGGGCTTACCTTAATCTCGGGGTTACCTTTGCAATTTTGGGGTCAAGACGCCCAAAGGTCAACTTGAGGTCACCCAGGGGTCAACCGGGGTCAACTTTCCATATATGGGTGTAGAACTGCATGGGGGTTCTAACTACAAAAATCCATCCATATCCCATTAATACTTCATTAGTTATCTCATTTCTAAGGTCCATTATCATTTTATCCGCAAAAAGGCTATTAACACCTGAAGGAGTTGCCGGATGGTTTGTTTTCACTCACTAGGGGTGAAAACAAACCAGGTACTTTTTTTGGAGTTCGTATCTCATGTCGATTGCCGCATGAAAATCATTATACCACCGTCCATTATTTTGCGTTAAATTAAGTTGTTTTTCAATTGCTAATAGCTTCCAATCCACCAGATGGAAAAAGTTCAAATTATAAAACGACATTTATCTTGCCACCATCTATCATCTCTCCAAGTTTCAGCTCCCTGCGCTCATTGGAAGCCGAGAAACGACTTCCGAAAGTTAGGGTTGGCTTTGTTTACTTAGGACATAAAGCTGGAAGTGGGGGTTCGATGGCTTTGGTGTTCCAAACTTAAGCTTCTCTCAATTAGCACTGAAACATACTTAAATTTAAGCCCATTACCGCCGCTAGTTTCCGAGTTCTGATAGGGCCATTTACACTTCCGGGGACCGGTATCACTTGCTCCTCTGAATTTTAGAACATTAGCTTCCTTAGTTCCGATTTTTTTTTGGGGGGGGGGAGGGACTCGCCGGTTTTGTCAAATTTTATTTTCTGGCATAGGAGGGACGATATCTTTGAAGAATGAACTATTTTGAACTCGACCCTTTCCCTTTGTTTGCTGTTCTGCTTAAATTAATGACGAATCAATCTTACACTCAGGTCACTATACCAGTAAAAACAGTAGAATCACCAATTCTACACGCGTAAACCTTTGCTCAGAGGCTTCACATTGACAGGCACTTGCTTTTTGACGACCTCCCAAGTTGATTGTACTAAACATAACTTGGAAACTAAATTGTTTTTAAAATTATCTTAGACTATTTTTCGGTTCACTGGGAGTTGATCTGGAATATTTAAAGAGGTTTCAACTTTTTTTCATTTTTTTAGGGGTTGAGCATGTTGATAAGGACCTAATTTGTACTCTGGGCCCTAGTCTTTGCCAGGACGACGAAGGATCACCTTTGGTACTGGAGAAGAGTGTCAACGGAAAAACAGAGTTATGTCTCTACGGAATCTCAACTTTTGCAATAACCAACAGTCAAAATCCACCGGGGTGCGCGACTAAGATGGCAGTATGATATATTCCATTATGACAACTATGCACTGTAATACAAACCAAAATTGGGCAGCCCCAATAATTTCACTAAAAGCGAATATTTCGTTGTTTTTCACTCAAATAGGTTTCTGCTCTGTTTTGTCTACTTATTAAGAGTCAACGAACGTAGTGAACAGTTTTATATAGGCCTAATCAGGGGCGGATTTAGGGGGGGGGGGGGTGGACGCCTTCTCCTAAGGGATTCGACCCCCTGCCGACCCAAAGGGTTCCCTGTTAAGTATAATAATAATAAGGTGCTGACGATTTGCTTAATATGATAATTGCTACAGATGTATGGTGGTGGTTGTTTGTTAATATCAACTATTCTTATCTAAAAGTGTTTTAATCAATCAATGGTAGCAGGAGGTAGATCAGTGTACCCTCATAGGTAGACTACCTCCTGCTACCATTGACTGATTAAAACACTTTCAGGGATAACTATATTTTATATAGTATATTAAAAAAAATTTAGTAAATAAATATGAGTTTTGGTACTCAGTTCAATTAGTTTTTGCCAAACGATTTTCTCTCTTCTGAAATTGATTCGACTTTTCATTTATTTTCTTCTTTTTTGGTTATGTCGTCTTCGAAATTCACGATGCACTCAAACCCGCCACGATGCATTCCAGAATTTCGAGATATCCAGGGTTTCGCTTCCAAATTTTTGTCTAAAAAAGTGTTTTTCGAGTAAGCTCAGTTCCGTATCTACTGGTTTGTTAACATCTGATCTGAATTTTGCCAGTTTCATTCTATACGCCTCCAGAGCTGCCTTGTTGAGGTCCGTTATATCCTTTTGAGAGCTGATTACTTTAACCGAATGCTTAACCGGATTTCCATATCGGCTGGGCCCCTTATTTTTGGTATGTCGTTCACTGCGCCTCACTGTAACGTCACTGTCGCCTGATTCATCAGAGAATCCTGGTGGAACGTTTTTGATTTTCCTCGCCTCCCATATCCGTAGATTTTAGTATGTCTTCTGCGTATTTTTGTACCCCTCTTGTAAGTTCTTGGTCGGCTAATTTGTTCCATTGGTCTTTCGACAAATTGCGGCTTTGGAAAGTTTGAAGAATTTTATCCGCCGATGTATGCCTTTTGATATCCTTGCTGTTGTCGTTTAATTTCTTTCTTGGGGTAGATGTGCTCGGAACGTACACCTTTGCAGGGGATGACAATGTGATCGTGTTTTGTGCATTGGATGGTCCTGACTTATCTGCTGCTGTTGCAGCTTTCTGTCGTGTTGCCTCTTGGCAGGTTTGCTTTTTTACTTTGTTTAGCTCCTTTGGACACCGAGCTACTTGATTTATCCACAACTGGTCCCGCATTGTTAGGTTTAGCCCGTTCTACTGAATGAGTGAGGCCCCCGATTACTTCTGTATCCTTGGATGTGACGTTTAAGTGGCTATCTTGGCATTAGCCATTTTTGATCTCTCTTGTATTTCCCGCATTTCATCTGAATCGCTATTTGTTTTCTGTTTTCCGCTGTCTTTTTTCTTTGATTTAGTTTTAGGCTCATCTCCATGTGGGCTTCTTCTTGCGTTGCCTTTCTTTGGACTTTTCTCCTTCAGCTCACTGGTGTCCACTTTTGTTTTAGCGATGTCGCTTTTTCTATAGACTGCACCAGCAGCCGTCTTCACTGTGAGGCGAGTCTCTGATTGAACCTTGCCTTTTATTGGGTTTGTCAATGCTTTTCCACTCTTCCGGTTTTTATCCATTCTCAATAGGTTGGGTGATCTTGGCTCGTCCTCTTGCGGGTTGTCTTCAATGAAACCATACTCCCATGAGTACAAGAGTTCCTTGCGCAAATCAGGATGGATTGTGCTCGTTTCATCGACAAATCGCCTCAAGTCGTTAGCAGAGTTGTCTCTTCTAGTTGCGTTCCACCGAGCGTTGGCTTCCAAAAGCGTTTTTAACGTTTATCCTCGGTCCCTATCTTTCGCAGATTTAAATAGTGGGCTGACCTTTCGACTGTATTGTCCCTTTCTGACTATCTTTACGTTGTCTCGTGACTGGTCAGTTCTTTTGTTGAGCTGAGAGGCGGTTAATTCTAAACGCTCCAGATGTTTTTTTATCTAAACTAGCAGAGTTTTTAATAAACGAATCTCTTAGGATTTTAAACTCAGTTTTTGGAAGGCGTTCAAAATGAGCTTCAAATGGTGAACATTGGATCGTCTTTAGATCCCGAATTACTTATGATCCCGAATTACTGTACCCGGAGCAAGTTTTTTTGATATGACAATTTCGTCCAAGAACATAATTCACAATCTTCGTTTGATAGTTTGTATTGTTCATTCGACCAGACCACACCCCCTGTGGTCCCCCACTGGACAGAATTTTTCTTCAATGTTATGCTTGGTACATACGTTTTTCATCAATTTACCTTTAAAGCCTGAGAATTGATCAATTTTTATTGATTTTGGTATTCCATGTGTGTCAATATAAGTACGTAGAAATTTCACAGATGTTTTACCCCCAGCTGACTTTGTGATACCCCCAGCTGTCTCGACCACAATCTTCGTTTGATAGTTTGTTTTGTTCAATCGACCAGACCACACCCCCTGTGGTCCCCCACTGGACAGAGTTTTTGTTCAATGTTATGCTCGGTACAGACGTTTTTCATCAATTTACCTTTAAAGCCTGAGAATTGATCAATTTTTATTGATTCTGGTATTCCATGTGTGTCAATATAAGTACGTAGAAATTTCACAGATGTTTTACCCCCAGCTGACTTTGTGATCTTTACCGACGGAAATTTCGTATATCTATCTATAGCTACAAGTAGGTAATTTTTTTTCCCTTTTTATCTTTTAAAGGTCCCGCATAGTCTTATTGTAGTTCTTGCCCCGGCTGCAAAAGCAGCGGAAGTGGTTTTGATGCATTTTTTGGTACAATATATTTAGCATTCTTACAAAAGCGAGTGCAACTCCTACATTCTTCAGCCATATTCATAATATCTTTGTGCATATGTGGCCACCACAGGTATCTAGACACGTCCAGTATTGCCTCTTGTCCTGGGTGGCCGCGATGTGTCCTCTTAAGGACTGCGGGACGCAGCTGTCCTGGAACGGCCAATCTACCGTCCACGATGATGCAATCGTCTACTACGGACATCTGGTGCCACAGCGAATTCGTGTAAGGGCCAATTAGCTCGAAGCTGTGTCGATCTTTTCGCTCTATGACACTTCTCAGCCTGTCCACCCATGTATCTTCTCCGGTGAGTTTTGCTAGGAGATTTCGATCAAATAATTTCGAAAGATTGAGTAAATTATTGTCCTCTAGATGTTCTGCCTGCCTGAAATCGTCCTGTCTCGATTTCCTTTCGGTCCTTTTCCGCGCAACTAGGTTTATTTCTGGGCTTTCTGACGGTGTATTAGCTGTAAGGTCCACTTCAAGGATTTTTGAATCATTCGCATTTGGGATGTCTCCTTGTGGGCTTGTCATTTCCGTTGACGCTTCCAATTCCAACATGTTCCCCGGTGTTACTTTGCCAAACTGTTCTGATCCCACTAAATCCCAAAAAGACATTAGCTTCCTTGGTTCCGCCCGTGGTATTGATTGTTCCGTGTCCTTTCGTTTATTACGTATACTTACTTTTCGCCATTCGACTTGCGGTGTATCTGAGTCCGAACTGTCAAAATCATTTTCTGTTGATCCTCTCTGCGTTTTTTGAATTGTTTAATTTAGTATCAACCGACTGTTTACAATGAGAGATCTTGTTTAAAGTGTTTTGTTCGCATATTGAGAGACGTGATTTTTGACCGTTTTCGTTCCGGTCGAGCCTTGTTCGTTTTTGAACAGAACGGTTGCTATAGCAACCATGGGATGACGTGTTCTGTGCTTCGTCCATTTTGTGTCGTAATTCAGAATATTCTACAATATTTTCATTTTTATTGCGAGTAATGTTTGTTGTATCAATTAGCAGTCGAGTGCTTTATGAAATTGATCAATCGACGCTACAACAAACTTCTCATCTAATTGTGACTCAGGCCACGGTTCCCCAATCGGGTCTCTTGACAGGTAATCTACAATTCCCATATCTTTACCCGGTATATGGACCACTTAAAGTTGGTAAAGTAGCAGACTGTCTACCCACCTAGTGAGCCTAGATTGATACGTTTTTTAGATTTATGTTCCCATAATGCTGATGTGAGGGCTTTATGGTCTGCTGCTAGAATGAATTCTTTTCCTAATAAATAGTGTTTAAACCGGTCAACTGACCATACCACTGCAAGCAGTTCGAGGTCATTTGTCGAATACTTCTTTTCTTGTAAATTAAGAACGCGATGCGAATGCAATCGGTACCCATTCGTCCTCGTCTGTTTTTTGTTCCAGGGTTGCTCCGGGGCCGCTGTGGCTTGCGTCGCATTTTACCCGAGTTTCTTTCAGGGGGTCAAAATAATCATTTTGTGCGATCCATGCCACCACTTTTTTGATCTCTTCGAAAATTAGGGTGTGCTTTCCCCCCACTCAATTTTTTTTACAGAAAAGTTAACATTTTTCAATTTCTTTTTCTCGTTTTCTTCTGTAAGCAACGGTCTAAGCTGGTCGGTCAAGCTCGCTGCATTAGGAATAAATTTAGAGAGGTGGTTGATATTACCCATAAACGATCTTAATTGTTTGAGCAATTTTGGTTGTTCTAGATTGAAAATCGCTTCTGTTTTGGTAACTTTAGATGTTATACCACTTGGTGTAAATTTATGTCCTAACCAATTAACTTCTGTCTGAAAAAATTCGCATTTTGCTAATTTTAGCGCTAGATTTTCACCATCAATTTTTTAGAACATTTATTACCAGCTTTTCGTGTTTTTTTCTCCCCTTTAGAAACAATCTATATGTCGTCCAGGATGCAAAATTTGTTTTAAGCCTGGTTTAAAGTACGATCCATAGCCTTTTGAAATTCTGCGGGCATGTCCGCTAGCCCGTAAAAACCTGTCAGGAACCTGTATGTTCCTGTTGCTTGCCCGCCGACCATGTTGAATTTACATTGCTTATCTGTTTCAGCAGTTAATCGTATTTGGCTATACGCGTACTTCAGGTCAAGTACCGTAAAATACAGTGTGCCGTTTGTTTTGGCAGTTACTATTTGACTCACTCCATCTAATAATTCATCAACATTTGGCATTTGATGTTTAGTTTTGTACAGTTGCCTATTTATTGATTTTGCGTCTAATGCCAATTTGATGGAGTCGTCTTTTTCACCGTTATTACTACTAAAGCAATAAAACAGTCACTTGTGCATTTGTCCAATTTTTGTTATATGACCTTCTGATAACAATTTCTCAAGTTCTTCTTGCACTTTTTTTGAAAATGAATAGGTATTCTCTTACCTTTTTCTTGTATCGGACATAGCGAGTACTTGAATATTGTGGTAACAACGTGATTTTTGATTCTTGGGCTCTGGTGAATAGTCTATGTCGCTCATACGTGATGTTTTTTTTTCAAATGATACTTTGGCCAAATTCACCATTTCTCTGAACTCGAGTTTTGATATTTCCGTGTAGGGTTTTTCTACACGAATTTCTTTTTCCCCTCCGTGCCCAGCGCCAGAAATAGACGAGACGTAAGCCTTTTCTGGATTTTATTGTAGAACACATTGTGCCCGACTTTAGGTCCGAGTTCCCTTCTTTCTTGGTTTTTGAGTACTACTTTGTCTCTTACTAGTCTATCTCTCTCTTCACGGTCCGCTACTGCCTGTGCATCTTCGGTTGATCTTGGAGTTTCTGGGCGAGGCATTAGTTCATCAACAACTTCTTTTGGTTCTTCTAGTAATATCTCAGGATTCACATTTTTCTTCACCGTCACCACTAGCATAAATTGGTTCAACTAAATTTTAAAATTCCACGGTGGATCCGAACTAGCTGATGTCCAGAAAACAGGGATACCCATATCCGTTCGGTTATCCTGTGCCACGAATCCTGCTGGCTGCGCCACGTGGTAAGGTAACTAATGCTGTACACTCAGTTGAAAACAGATGTAGTTCAAAGAGTTAATTTAGTCTTTGCAACTAAGTTCTTTTTTTCTATTTTCATCGTTTCCTTGAATCAGCTCAAAATGCCGTATCTTTGAACGTAGAGTTTAATAACAACTGAAATAACTCATTTCGATGTTCAACGCCAAATGATCTTGATACTAAGTTAATAACAATATAATTACAGATAACAATATGAGTCCCAAGGTTAGTGTGCAGCGAGATCAACAATGGTTACTGCACATGCAGTATGTGCTGTACCACACCCCCCTCCTCGAGAAAATCTTAGATCCGCCCCTTGGCCTAATTGATTTTTTGTTAAGAGTCGACTGATGGTCTAGCATAAAAGTTTGAAAACATGAAATAGTACTGACTAGCAAAACTTTGATAGCTTTTTTGCAGAAATACAAAAAGCAATCATAAGAATCCTTTCAAATTGAAACTTGCATCTCTGAGAAATAGAAACTGAGTATTTCAGGAAACAACAAGCAAATAAATTTTTGGCCCATCTGAACAACCTCCCTCCTTAAAAAACTCAAGCCGTAAGGCCTGCCTGTACTATGCTCAAATCTGATTGGCTGCAAAATATTACTTTTAACCAAAGGAACGATCTCCTCCCTAATTTATTTAGGGCGAGATTGTTCACTTGGTCCGCAATTTATTCCCTAAAGGGATAATACCAGAAGAAATCTTTAAGTTTGTTCACGTTCAAACTTGATTAGTCGCGCTTGATTTTTGTTTTTTCTCTAAATTCAGTTCAATTACTTCGTTAAAAAGGCAAACTCCACTACCGAACAGCAAAAGTGAAAAGTTAACGAAATAAAACCGGAATAAAAAAAAATTATTGAACAAAAGTTCTCAAATTGGGTAGTCAATGACAAAAGTCAAAAGTCTCAATCCTTAATTGTTTTTTTTTGAAATTCAACAAGCTTTACGAATATGTATTTTTTCTTTGAAATTCAAAATTGAAGTTCTTCAGAAAAAAGTTAGTATTTTATTTCTGTTTCGTTGCCTTTAATGACTCTTTTCCAACTGTCTGATGTTCACCGGACATAACCGGATATCGTGTAACCGGATGTTTTTTCTTGTACAATTAAGGAGAAAAATTCAGTTTTCCAAGTAGTTTGGTGTTAATGTCTCATCTATTACATGCTAGAGCCTTTTACTGCGTTTTTCGTGACTTTTTACTCCCTGGCAAGTCACGCACCTGGACCCGCTAACAGAGTCAAAGACCAAAACAAAGAAGCCAAATGCAGCGACAACTACTTACAGTATTATACAAACGCCGTGCACGTAAATTATTCTGCTCATGGTTGTGAAGGGTATTACAGATGGAGAAGGTTTGAAGTACATGACTGATCAAAAAATTGAAAAATTAAGCAATGACAGTTGAATCTCTTTATTTCTGCTCAATGTTAACTCATAAATTATTGTTCCGACCATTGAAAATGTGGAAGAACTTTTCATTCGGGTGTGTTTTAGTTTTTTTTTCACTCAAAATCAGGTACCACAAATAATCATCGGAATGGGTCGGTTAATATATCATATCAAAACCCTTTCAGTCGTGATTTGAACGACATTAAGACAATTTCAAAAATGTGTCCCAGTCTTGAGAAAAAAATGGTTTGAAGATTTTGATATTTAGTCTAATTTCGACCGAGTAACGTGATCGAGTAACGCTCGTTTTATGAAAATGTACTGTTCTTTTTTAGACTTTTAATATAATAAAACATCATTTTTTTTGCACAGAAAACTATTTTTCGATGTTTCATTTAGCGCTTGTTCGTTTAGCGCATTTAGAAATTGAAATTGTATTAAAATTTTTATAAATTTTTTTTGTGTTGTTCATTTTTTGAAGACAGTTATTATCAATCAAGCCTAATTGACTAGCTTCTTAAGCGATTGTTTTGAAAATATGGTCGGAACATTCTGTGCTACTCAGCAACCGGCTATCTTTATTTACATTGATTTCCGTTGTGTTCATAATTTCAAGCTTATGGTTTATGCCAACTAAAAATATGGTTTATTTCGTTCGAGCGTAGAAATGTCTGAGCAATATTAGGGTAAAATATATCATTTTCAGTTCCGATTCAGTATCAACAGCTTTCAAGATCTGGAAGACAACATTTACTGAGAAAATAGAAAGCAGTCATTTTTTTAAAACAAAAATGAGCAGAAAGACGTAAGACAAAAAATACATAAAAAAGCGTTTTTTTTTCTTGTGAAAGACTTTTAATCAGACTAATGCAACCAGTACTGGATGTAGGATTTCCTCAATAGGGAGGGGTGCGGATTTTCAAACAATTTTGAAAACTGTGTCCACTTTTTTGAGGTCGACAATTGTTTTCCTGACCTCTAACTGAAAATCACTGTAAAGACACAAATTTAACCAAATTTTCTGCGCCGCATACAAGTTTTCAAAAAGCAAGCCAAAAAAGGAGTTTTTACCAATACGAGGCCAAATTGTGCTCTGGATAGGAGCACAATTTGGTGTGTGTAGTCAGGGGCGGATGTAGGATTTTCTCGAGGGGAGCGGATTTTCAAGAAATTTACGAAAATTTTGTCGAACTTTTTTAGGGCGACCAAATTGATTTTCCGAGCCCTCCCAAGGCACTAAAAAGTCCCTGTTTTGGCCAAACTTTCTGCGCCGCAGGCAAAATTTTGAAAAAACAGGTCAAAAAGGCGTTTTTAGGCTTTTTTGGAAAAGTTTGACCAAAATATTGCGTTTTTTCCGCGCGCGCTCCCCCCTCAAAATTAGTGTATAGTGGCGCTGAAAGCGCCTTTAGAAAAATTTCAGGGTACCTCACCAAAAATCGATATTTTAAAATAGTACAAAAGGGGGACCCATTGGGTCGGCAGGGGATCGAATCCCTGAGAGGGGGGACAATTTTAGGGGCAGTCAGCCAAAAATGAACACTTCAAAATAGTACAAAATAGTTTGTCGGCGGAAAACCAAATCCCAAAAATGGGGGGACGTTTGCAACCCCCCCTTCTGAATGCAATTGAGTTTTAAAAAAAGTTATGATACCAAGTGTGAGTTTCAACATACAGGGCTTGCGATACCCCTGAAAGCTATTATATTTATACATTTTTACAACTCTTTGGCTTGTTTTTAACGGAAAAATACAACAATCCTTTCAAGGGTAAGAGCAAGATTTAAGAGGGGTCAGTTTCTATTTATTGGTAATAAATGCCTTAAATTAAAAGGTTTATGATAATTGAAACCTTTTACAAGAAATTAAAATTTCTAACGAAACCGTAAATCTTGGTTTTTGAAAACAGTTTAGCTGATGATTTCATCCACGTCAACGATTTGGTTTTGAAGTGTTATCAGACTCGGAGTAATTATGGGTAGTGAATGTTAAGGTACAAAAAAGCAATACTTTAGTTTAACTATTTAAGCTGTGAAAATGAGTCAACCCACAAATTGAGGTTCGATTTTGAGAAAAACTTGTTCTTAATTTTTGATGATATGTTAAATAATTCGCTTAAAAAAAATTGAGCAATGATTTTTTAAAGTTGACGCAGTGAAAAGTAAGCCAGAAATGAGACCCCGTGCCAAAAAACATTTATCCAGAAATGAGTGTGAGTTGTCTTTTTCTTTTCTGTCGGAACAAATCCACTCAGGGTGGAATTTGAAAATACTAAAAACTTTAGCATATGCTATTGAAAAAGATAAACTTACAGCTAACTTTTACAGACACCATGAGAATCAAAATTGCTTGTAACAATTGTAGTTCCTGCGAATCGCAGAGGAGCTATCAGTAGGCCGTAACAGTCCTGTCGAGGATAGTCCGTTTATATTATTTCCCCACATTCCAGACTGTGCTATTTTGTTGAGCGAAGCTCTTATTTGCGACTCAAGGCCGTTTTTTTGTGCGTCTAGAACTTTCATGTGGTACCACTATTGCAGCCAAATTTGGTCAGGTTGTGGTAGACCTGAAGCTAGAGGTCAAGTGAGAGCTCGTCCTCACACACTATCATTGCCATGGCATGGGATCGATTACACGATCTGACGATTCTAAAGTGAACGCCTTACCACTATGCTAAGTGCCCCCGTACCAAGGCTAAAACACTATTTTTGGCTGTAATTAAGATATCGAAACTATTTTCTGCTTCAAAAAACAGTTTTGAAAACAAAAATTATTAAAATAGATGGTAAGAACGCGAAAGCTTGAAAATTGGTTTGCCGTCTAATTTCGATTAATTGATTTCATATAAAACAATTTTCAAGTGTCGGAGCCCTTGTAAAAAGTGAGGAATCTTAAATTCCTCACAATGCTTCAAATTTACAGATGTGTGGTCAAACATTTTGTCAAACATTAGGTCAAGCAAATATATGATTTTTTTTCAATTCATCGTATTGAAAGCCAGGCAAAGTGCGATCTCCGAATAACAAAAAACAAATGGCGCGAAGGGGTAGTACAACTACAACAGTGCGAAGTACAATAGTGTCGAAACAAATTAGTTCAACAGTGACGAAAATGAAAACTTTGTTCAACAGTGCCAAAAATTTGGATGAACATATTGAGTGCGGCAATCAAAAAATAAATGGCAATCAATTACAATCTTAAGTGACACTTTAGCATTTTGAACGAGAAAATTTGAAACTTTGTCGCCAAAAGTGGAGTGGTTTTTTTGTTAATCAGAGTCAGTAATTTTCCGCTCGTTAGAAAATGCAGTTAAATTATTCTGAAAATTTTTATCGCCTTTTTGGGATTGTTGTACTTTGGCACTGTTGAACTCCCCAGGCGCTAAAAAACGTGAACAAATTTTTGATTTTTGGAAGTGGATTTTAAGTATTGTTTTCCCAGGAGAACGAAAAATTCAACTAAAGGTTCAGTTTTCTCAATTCGATTTAATTTTGTCAAAAAAGTGGCAATCGTAAATTCGTCAAGAAATTAAGGGATCAGTAAGGCCAACTATTTTTTACTTCAAAATTCAAAGTTAAAAGTTTTTCAAAAATAAGTCTGTTTTTAGAGACCAGGGAAAGTCGTCTAGATAGTTCCAAAATTGAAACGTCATGCTTTCGCAAAAATTTATCACTTATTTTTTATTGTGGGAACTGGGCAACATGATTATTCGGATAGATTTTGAAATTTCGTTACAAAGGCTAATAAAAAAGTCAAAACTTGTCTGGAAAAAACCACGCCGTGTACAAAATTTGTCGCCATCCACAAATGTCGGAAGAAAAATTGAAAGTTTTCTCACAACCAACGTAAAAAAGAGGGCTGTGTTTTCTATGCAGCAGCGCCTTATTTTGACATAGTAGTCTTCTTCATTGCAATTTCGAATGATTTCTGAATTTTTTTTAATGAGAAACTGAACATAAATCTGACAATAATTATGTCAAATTAGGTAAATTGACAATTTTCATATCATTCTAGTTTGATTTAAAAAATTGCGCAATGATAAAAATTGGCTAAAATTTGTTACAAATATTGAGACAAATGAGTAGTTTTAAGTTTTTTTGTTTTTTGGCCTTTTTTTTAAGATAAAGATGGAACACATGATTCACAGCTGATTATTTTGGTATTCCACCAAAAAAATTATGCGAGGCTGCTTTTTTATTCACACCCATTTCATTTATGAGTTTGTGAGAGAAGTTTTTTTATTTGACCTGAAAGATATTAATGCCTTGATCTCAAAAACAGAAACATATTTGAACTCTGATAATTTTTAAACCAGAGGATTGGTTCGATTGTCAATTTGGCCAATTTCGGATAAATAATGCGCGCCAAAAAAGTTCTTTTTTTTGTCAGCGTATAGCAACAAATTCGGCGTTTTATTCTGGCTCACATATGTTTTCAAATTGGACGGAGGCTTGATTGATCAACATCATGTTTTTGCACATTCAATTTTGAACGATAATTTATTATCTTCTATGTTTTACGGGTCTACATGTGCAAAAACTGCATCTCTAATCTGACAAATTACAGTAATCATCTATTGCATTTTTTGTTATTATGATCGATTCAAAATGGATATTTTTTGTCTTTTTAAGTTAGTTACAGTCTGGTCGGAAAACTAATTGCCAGCTTTGTACCTTAAAAATTTGCAAAAAAAATGATAACTAACTACTTTAACTTTGTAACCCTAATTTTTCAACTTTTTGGCCCATTTGAGCAAAATAACTGCTCAAAAATGACGCTCCAAAAGATCTGACCACCTTCTTAATTGTCGCATTAATTTTACTGAAAAAGATGACCAATATAACAGTTTGATAGTAGTCTGCGATTTAAGCAAAATTAAAACAGTAAAAAAACTGTAGTTCGCACTAGCAGAATCAATGATTCCACTTAGCTTGCCTCATTTCAACACGAAAATTTTAGAAAAAATTTATTACAAATTTTTTTTGTTATAAGCTAACCATCTCAAACAAATTTATAACTCTTGAAAAAAATTGATGCGTTGAGCTCAAATAAATCATTT